AATTTAGTTCGGCTATCTGTAGGTGGCAGTAGTCAGATGGATGTGATGGGCATATCACCTACTACCTTTCATCCAATTTTCATGTGTTGGGTTTATATAGCCCCATATAATTTTTTTTCAAATTCCATTTACCATTTCCGCTTGCGCACGTAGGTATCTTCATAGATATTCGTATCCATTGAATACGATTATTAATTAAATTAATATTAATTAATAGAGACAATTTCTATAAATTATTAAAAGATATTAATGCCAATCACAATAATATAATAATCGTGTAATATTCTGAAAGAGGATACATATAAGTACACAGGAAAGGTATTATGGTTAATAACGAAAATACATCATATGAATAAGTTTATTTCGGAGATAGTTACTTCAAGTTACTTAAGTTGAGATGGGAAAATTCCCCCCAAAATAGCCTGATGGACAGCTGGCATGTGTTCAGAAATGTCCAGACGATGCATTGTACACATAAATCTTTCCAAAACTATTTGTACCGCACCTTTGTCGATCTTGCTCTCCAAGAATGGGATGACCTCCTTCTGGAAGTATTCTTCGAGATCCAGTCCGTCGTACTCAGGCCTGGAAGAATGGAAGTCTACCTTGGCCAACCTCTCGAAGGCCAGGTCGTGCAACTTGACGGAGCAGCGGTCTTGGCCGATGTTGAAGACGGTATAGTTGACGCGGACGGAATTGTCCCCGATCCTGACGCTGGCTGACATGTCCTTGTCGTCGATCTTCAGGGATTTGAAGGATTGTAAGAAGAATCCGAAACCGTAGTGGAGGTCGAATGTCACGTTCCTATCAACGTAATCAAAAACGCAGTCGTCGGTCCTCTTCAAGGAGTCGAGGCCAAGGACATCGGAATCGGAAAATGATACCTGAAATGTAACATAAAGTTTTATTACGATTTGTCATTTGTTATTAAATTAAATCATCATTAAAGAATTGAATTACCGTAAGGTGGGGTAACTTTGGGTTGTTTGGGTAACTTTGGAAAAGTTGGTAAATTCAAATTATATATATAAAAAAAATACTTACATGAGAACCAAAAGCACCTCGTGGTACATGGACAGAGGTATATCCGTTCTGGCGAAGGATTTCGTTGGTCTTAGCTAAGCCCACATCGACATGCTCGTTGATGTTGATGACTTTGGAGTTGACGGCAGCCACGGCCAGGACCAAGAAAAGACAATAGACCTTCATGATTGCTGCTGTTCGGAATGAAGCTCTACTCCAACGTCTAGATATTTATACTTCTCTGCTTATCTTTAAGAGACCGGTCGTGATTTGCGAATATTTTTCGATTCGTTTTCAAGAATTGATCTTGAAGAACACACCTGCCGAATAATTAATTTGTTTTGAACGCTGAAACTTTCCGAAATCAACTTTCGATAAAGTGTTGTTGATTTGTAGAAGGTTTTTGCGTCTTACCAGATTTGTGGAGTAATCTCGAATCAGAGTGTCAACTCATGTAGGAGAGAGACAAATTCTGCTTACAGAAATTTTTATTCAATATCGCATGATATAAAGGCAAGGAGGTTAACATGCCCGTACCATAGAAATTACATCTCTCAGTAAAAATGTATTAAATTTTATTTTACTTACTAGAGTGTTATCATTGCCAGTTTCGAAACAATATTCTATTTTTTTTGTTGGATCTACAGACCATGAAGATCTTTGTCCGCGTGATGTAGTCTTTTTTTAGACAACTCACTTTCAACCTGCACGGCCATTTATAGTAATCTATCTCAGATTTGACAATGTTGATCACTTTCAACCTGCACGCCATTTATAGTAATCATCGCATTGTAACCTCCAGCATTTATAGTAATCTACTCAGATAGTCACGATAATGTTGGTAAAAATTAGAAAAGGTTGTTCTTGTGTGTGTGTTAAAATAGTTGCTGTTGGGATTTTTTCTTAAAGAAAGGTACTGACTATGATCTGAATCGGAAATTATTCTGAGTTTTTTTTTCTTATAGAACTCATTTTCAACCTGCAGGGCCATTAATAGTAATCTGTTTCAAATTTGACAATGTTGGTAAAATTTAGCGTTCATTGAATGTAATTATCGACCATATAACTTTATCAAATTATTAAGTTTACTGACGCATTCGACGCACAATTTGACCTTCTTTAATTTCTTAAACATTACGTTTTTATCTTTGATGCACTGTTTAGTAGTAATATATGAAAAATAAAAAGATCAGATGTATCTGGATTTCTTGGTTGTAAAACGTTTTCCCTTGGTGATCTGTGTTAGCAATTTTGTCTTTTATCGATATATACCGTGTGTCCCTTGAGTAGAAGTTAATATTTGAAGGACTCATAGTAGAACTCAATAAATACAAGAAAGTTTAGATAAACAATGGTTCGATTTTCAGCAGGAAACTAGGAAATTAATGTATTGTGATTTTTCAAGTCACTATTTAATTTAAGTAATTACCGATTGCTTCACTGTAAACTAGACAAAATTTCTCTTAAGTAAAAATAGAGTTTTTCTTTTCTTAAAACAATTTAAAGCGGAATTTTGAGTGGCTGAACTCAGCTAAAGAGAGGGGGGAGGGTGATTGGAATTGGTGGGGAAACGGGTAGGAGTAGGGGAAGCACATGGTACAGAGGTGCGCCCCCCCTTGAGGAAATTCCGCTATCCGCCACTGGGTACAGACTGATTTTTCATTAAACTATTAACATCCCCTTAAACCTTCGTGAATATTTTTATCTCACCGTAACCTACAAATATTCCAAACTTTTGTCTATTTAATTAGGTACAAAAACTAATGAATAACTATTTGTTTTTTACTTGAATCATAAGATAATATTATAACGTATTACATAGAAAATACAATAAGTAAATGTGACATTGGTAACATGACATGTACAACATGAAGAGAAACTACCCATTGGTAGAACTCAAATTAAAGTTCTATATTAGAAGTCCCGAGGCCATCTTCTTTTCAGACGCCTCGGAGGGTTATCAGGGATCGAGGAGGAAGCAAGGTTTGAAACGAGAGGATTCGGATGGTTCTGCAGTTTGTTATGGAAGGATAGGTATCTGGATTGGGCCAAATCGGAAACATATGGAACATTAAGGTCTTTATGGATGATTTTATTTGTGACAAAGTAAGGAGCGTTGAGGATTTTACGAAGGATTTTGGATTGTAAGGATTGGATACGAGAGGAATTCGATGGTTTAGTGGAGCCCCAAAGCTCAATTCCGTAAGTCCAAATAGGTCTTATTATTGTCATATATATGAGTCGTTTGTAATTGATTGAAAGCTTAGAGCGTTTGTCTAGTAAGTGCTGCAGTAGTCGAAAACGTCGGGCGGTTTCTAGTCGTTTCAATTTAAAAAAAAATATTATAGTAATCCTGGAGTGTAAGATTAAATTTTTCCTCTAATTTTTAGTTAATGATTTAATGACTTATTTTTCTTTTCTTTTGCAGGTATGTTGAAAATGTTGACATCTTTCATTTTTTAAGGTACTTTATTATTATTTTCATCTTTCAAAATACTTTCAAATTCTTCTCTTTTCTTTTTCTATCTAATCCAACAGGCATTGGTGGTTTTAGGAAGATCAAATAGAAACCGAGATCAACTTTTAGTGTGCACCTCTAGCTAATTCATGACCATTTTTTCTAGCTCGAAACACAATTGCTGAAGCCGTCCCATATTTCATAATGTACAGCGATTACAGTACGTTGTACATAACCATTTTGTCAAATTATTTACATCCGCCTCAAACTTTGTTAATAGTTTCATCTCATCGTAACCTACAACTATTTTATTTACGAAAACTCTTGGAATTAGGGCGTTTTCAATCTGGAGATCGGCAAACTTTGTCTATTTAATTAGGTACTAAAAACCTATTTGCTTTCCATTTGAATCGTAAGATAATTTGATTAAAAAATATAGAAAAAAGGTTGCCTACAAAAATATCGGATCCTGTGACTTATATAACCTTATTATTTTGATATTTTGGGAGTGGAGTTCATGGCAAATGCCCCAATATTTCTTTAGGCCACCTTTTTTTTTTAGTTTTCTAATCATATTATTTAAAGATTCAAGTGGAAAGCAAATGGGTATTCATATGTTTTAGTACCTAATTAACACAGCTTGACTATCTCCAAATTGAAAACGCTCTAATTCCTAGAATTTTCGTAGATAAAATATTTGTTGGTTAAGATCCGAGACTTCATTATCCAAATCCGAGACCAAGACTAGTTTTGCGCAACAGTCGTTCATTTCAGTTACCTATTAGATTATTATTATATAGATATTACTGTAATTTTTTAGATAGGAGAAGCTTAACTGAGCCCGAATGAATATTTATAAGAGTTAAATGCAAAAGTATATTGGTTAGACCACTGCACTTTCGGATCTACGGGGAAGGAGAGCTTTCGGGCTGAACCTCCCCCCAATTTGGTAAAATATAATCATGTTTTACAGAAAAAAATATTAAGAACTATCTCTTAAGGTATTCTTGTTCGTTCAATTACGTTTAATAGGACTTCAAGAACCACTTAAACACCACTTCATATAAGTAGTTAATTTCTTTCCTTGTTTTCAAATTAATTATCCTTATATGTATATTAAAAAAAAAAAATTCGGGCTGCAGCCCCTCAAAATTAAATCCTGAACCACAGCTTTACCTAAAGTGTAGCCTAAAGCACACACCTTAAGTTTTTTAAATTATGATACACTAGAAAATATAAGCAATACACTTTATGGAAAAAAGAATTGTCCTGAATTTTTTGTTAATTTTCGTCTTACATTCGTGAAAATCAATTGCCTCTGACATTCCGAAAATTTATACTATTTAATCTTATCCATTGAATATCATTATCGAATTGAACACAATTTCTATAATTTATAAATAGATATAAATGTCAATAACAATATCATAATAATCTTGTAATGTTCTTAGTTTATGAAAGAGGGTACAAAGATTATATAGGAAACGTATTATAGTTAATGTTTATTAACGAAAATAAATCATATGAATAATTTTATTTCGGAGAAAGTTACTTCAAGTTACTTTAAAGTTGAGATGGGAGGATTCCCCCAAAATAGCTTGATGGACCGCTGGCATCTGTTCAGAAATGTCCAGACGATGCATTGTACACATAAATCTTTCCAAAGCTATTTGCACCGCACCTTTGTCGATCTTGCTCTCCAAGAATGGGATGACCTCCTTCTGGAAGTACTCTTCGAGGTCGAGTCCGTCGTACTCAGGCCTGGAAGAATGGAAGTCTACCTTGGCCAACCTCTCGAAGGCCAGGTCGTGCAATTTGACGGAGCAGCGGTCTTGCCCGATGTTGAAGACGGTATAGTTGACGCGGACGGAATTGTCCCCGATCCTGAAGCTGGCTGACATGTCCTTGTCGTCGATCTTCAGGGATTTGAAGGATTGTAAGAAGAATCCGAAACCGTAGTGGAGGTCGAATGTCACGTTCCTATCAACGTAATCAAATACGCAGTCGTCGGTCCTCTTCAAGGAGTCGAGGCCAAGGACATCGGAATCAGAAAATGATACCTGCAATGCAACATAAAGGTTGATTACGATTTGTCATTTGTTATTAAATTAAATCATCATTAAATAATTGAATTACCGTAAGGTGGGGTAACTTTGGGTTGTTTGGGTAACTTTGGAGAAGTTGGTAAATTCAAATTATATAAATAAATACTTACATGAGAACCAAAAGCACCTCGTGGTACATGGACAGAGGTATATCCGTTCTGGCGAAGGATTTCGTTGGTCTTAGCTAAGCCCACATCGACATGCTCGTTGATGTTGATGACTTTGGAGTTGACGGCAGCCACGGCCAGGACCAAGAATAGACAATAGACCTTCATGATTGCTGCTGTTCGGAATGAAGCTCTACTCCAACCTCTAGACATTTATACTTCTCTCCTTATCTTTAAGAGACCGGTCGTGATTTGCGAATATTTTTCGATTCGTTTTCAAGAATTGATCTTGAAGAACACACCTGCCGAATAATTAATTTGTTTTGAACGCTGAAACTTTCGAATCAACTTTCGATAAAGTGTTGTTAATTAGTAGAAGGTTTATGTGTCTTACAGCAGATTTGTGGAGTAATCTGGAATCAGAGTGTCAACTCATGTAGGAGAGAGACCAATACTTCTCAGTATTGGCAGAGAACTCGATGAAATCCTAGCTGCCTTTACATTCTATTTTTGTAATTCATAACCTTTAAGTCAATATTAGTCAGTAAGAGTTAATTGCGAAATAAGTTAAGATTCATTTCAAATTGTATAAAAGTGTTATGTGATTTTAAAACCTGTCACCTAAATTACTTTTGTCTTTAATATAAATAACTAAAATAAATTATTGATAAGCTTTAATTTCTGTTTTTTACTTGACCTGAGATGGATTGTAATAAACATAATTTCTTAATTGTCCGTGGTGCAGTCGTTAGCGGATCCGTCCGGGGGCAGGAGGAGGGGTAGCGCGAAAAAAAAAATCAAAAACGTTTTAAAAATATTGGGAGAATTCATCCTCATAGGCGAATTTTCTAATGAAATATTAAAAAAAATATTATCATGACCATTTTTATTATTATGACCATCTTACGGTTTGTCATTTCATGTCACCTCACCTTGTGCTCCTGTCGCAGTTTGTTCCTACTGTTTTCGAACTGAGTCATGATGGAGTTAAATACATGATGGAGGAAAATTAATTTTAAAAAGTGAACTTCAGTTATTCTTTCAAACAACTTTTTATTCGGGTACAAGAAAATACAGTTTTTCTCCCGGACCCAGTTTTTATTCAGTTCCAATACACCTGGACGCATTGTAACCTCCAGCATGTATCCAGTTCCTTGCAGAATCCATGCGATTGATAAAACTGGTCACGATAATAATTTTTATATTTGTTATTAGAAAGTGTTGTTCTTTTATTAGAATAACTGCTGTCGGGAACGTTTTCGTTAAGGCAGATACTGATCATGATCTGAATCGGAAATTATTCTGATTTTTTTTTTTTTTAGAACTCATTTTCAAACCTGCACGGCCATTTATATTAATCTGTTTGATACCAAGATTGACAATGTTGGTAAAAATTGGCGTTCATTGACCGTGGTTATCGACCAAATAACTTTATCAAATTATTAAGTTTACTGACGCGTTCGACGCACAATTCTTTTCTTAAAGAATACATTATTAGCTTTGATGCACTGTTGACTAGTAATATATGAAAAAAAAGATAAATGTGGATCTGTTTGGATCCAGATAAATCTGGATTTTTTGGTTGTTTTTTTTATTATTATTATTTATTTTAAATGATATTTACAACTGTATACAAAAAATACATCTGGTAAATTTCGCACATTGGTATAAAGACATGGAACACATGTTGAGAAACTACCCATTGGTAGCACTCTAATAATATGTCTATATTAGAAGATCACGTGGCCATCTTCTTTTCAGACGCCTCGGAGGGTTATCAGGAATCGAATAGGAAGCAAGGTTAGAGACAAGAGGGTTGGGATGGTTATGAAGTTTATTATGGAAGGACAGATATCTGGATTGGGCCAAATCTGATACATAAGGAACATTAAGGTCATTATGGATAATTTTATTTGTAACAAAGTAAGGAGCATTGAGGATTTTACGAAGGATTTTGGATTGCAAGGACTGTATGCGAGAGGAATTTGAAGGCTTGGTGGAGCCCCATAGCTCAACCCCGTAAGTCCAAATAGGCCTTATTATAGTCATGTAAATCAGTCTTTTATAATTGATTGGAAGGTTAGAGCGTTTGTCTAGTAAGTGTTGAAGTAGTCGGAAACGTCGAGCTGTTTCTTGTCGTTTCAGTCTGGTATGAGGATTCCAAGTTAGACGTTTGTCCAGATGGAGTCCTAGGTAACGGATTTGTTCAACAGGAATAAGTGAGGTGTTGTTAAAGGATACTGAAGGACAGGAAGTCATTGGTTTACGACGAAGGGTGAAGGTAATTTGATGGGATTTATTGGAATTTATTTTAATTCTCCAGTTCTGACACCATTTTTCAAGGTTTGTGATGTGGGATTGAAGGTTTGGAATGCAATAGATGGGTCGTTATTAACTGATAGGATACATGTGTCATCAGCATATGTGGTGATGACAGTGTTGGGATGGGTTGGGATGTCAGCTGTATAAACTGTGTAAAGGATAGGACCTAGGATACTACCTTGAGGAACACCTGCAGACTGAGAAAAACGGGATGTATATACATTGTTGTGATTTACTTTAAAGTATCTATCAGTAAGATAGGAGCGATAATGAGGAAGTATGTAGGCGGTAGGACTTTTCGGAGTTTCTACAGAAGACCCGGGTGCCAGACTCGATCAAACGCCTGTTCAACGTCGAGAAAGCCTCCCGTGCAGTACATACCGCGCTCCAATGCAGAGGAGACTACATCAACCACGCGATGACATTGTTGGATCGTGGAATGCGATGTGCGGAATCCAAATTGGTGATCAGGCTTTAAGAACTATATTAAGAACTATCTCTTAAGGTATTCTTGTTCGTTCAATTACGTTTAATAGGACTTCAAGAACCACTTAAACACCACTTCATATAAGTAGTTAATTTCTTTCCTTGTTTTCAAATTAATTATCCTTATATGTATATTAAAAAAAAAAAATTCGGGCTGCAGCCCCTCAAAATTAAATCCTGAACCACAGCTTTACCTAAAGTGTAGCCTAAAGCACACACCTTAAGTTTTTTAAATTATGATACACTAGAAAATATAAGCAATACACTTTATGGAAAAAAGAATTGTCCTGAATTTTTTGTTAATTTTCGTCTTACATTCGTGAAAATCAATTGCCTCTGACATTCCGAAAATTTATACTATTTAATCTTATCCATTGAATATCATTATCGAATTGAACACAATTTCTATAATTTATAAATAGATATAAATGTCAATAACAATATCATAATAATCTTGTAATGTTCTTAGTTTATGAAAGAGGGTACAAAGATTATATAGGAAACGTATTATAGTTAATGTTTATTAACGAAAATAAATCATATGAATAATTTTATTTCGGAGAAAGTTACTTCAAGTTACTTTAAAGTTGAGATGGGAGGATTCCCCCCAAAATAGCTTGATGGACCGCTGGCATCTGTTCAGAAATGTCCAGACGATGCATTGTACACATAAATCTTTCCAAAGCTATTTGCACCGCACCTTTGTCGATCTTGCTCTCCAAGAATGGGATGACCTCCTTCTGGAAGTACTCTTCGAGGTCGAGTCCGTCGTACTCAGGCCTGGAAGAATGGAAGTCTACCTTGGCCAACCTCTCGAAGGCCAGGTCGTGCAATTTGACGGAGCAGCGGTCTTGCCCGATGTTGAAGACGGTATAGTTGACGCGGACGGAATTGTCCCCGATCCTGAAGCTGGCTGACATGTCCTTGTCGTCGATCTTCAGGGATTTGAAGGATTGTAAGAAGAATCCGAAACCGTAGTGGAGGTCGAATGTCACGTTCCTATCAACGTAATCAAATACGCAGTCGTCGGTCCTCTTCAAGGAGTCGAGGCCAAGGACATCGGAATCAGAAAATGATACCTGCAATGCAACATAAAGGTTGATTACGATTTGTCATTTGTTATTAAATTAAATCATCATTAAATAATTGAATTACCGTAAGGTGGGGTAACTTTGGGTTGTTTGGGTAACTTTGGAGAAGTTGGTAAATTCAAATTATATAAATAAATACTTACATGAGAACCAAAAGCACCTCGTGGTACATGGACAGAGGTATATCCGTTCTGGCGGAGGATTTCGTTGGTCTTAGCTAAGCCCACATCGACATGCTCGTTGATGTTGATGACTTTGGAGTTGACGGCAGCCACGGCCAGGACCAAGAATAGACAACAGACCTTCATGATTGCTGGTGTTCAGAATGTGAAGCTCTACTCCCACGGCTAGATATTTATACTTCTCTCCTTATCTTTAAGAGACCGGTCGTGATTTGCGAATATTTTTCGATTCGTTTTCAAGAATTGATTTTGAAGAACACACCTGCCGAATAATTAATTTATTTTGAACGCTGAAACTTTCTGAAATCGACTTTCGATAAAGTGTTGTTAATTTGTAGAAGGTTTTTGCGTCTTTTTGAAATCTGTAATCAGAGTGGAACCTCATGTACGACGAAGAAAAATTCTATTTACAGAAACTTTTTAGTCAATATCGCATGATATAAAGGCAAGGAGGTTAACTTGCCCCGTACTTAGAAATAACATCTCAGTAGAAATTTATTACATTTTATTTTATTTACCAGATTGTTATCATCCTCTGTCCCTTTTTTTTGTTCAATTTGGTTTTTGATGTAAGAACTTCTTTAGCACTTTTTTTTGGAGAGTAAATTAGATTGAGACGTTAGATTTTCGATGTGTAGTATTTTCGGTTGGAGTCGACTAATTGAAGTGTTTTTGCATATGGATTACAATATCTCAGAAACTAAAAATCTTACCTGCCTAATGAGAGAAATGTTCAGGATCAGTAATATCCAGTAAAATGTGACTGTTATTATTTTATGGATATGTATTTAGGTGTTTGTGTTTTGCGGAATCCCAAACTTCTGCTCAGTATGTCCAAATAGTTCTCAGTATGAAATACCCAACTATAATTATCATTTTTCAAATGCCAAAGCGAAACGAAAAGACTGAGTTGCTGAATTATTTCGTTAAAAATGCTGTATTAGAAAGCATGAGTGAAGATTCATATGATTCAGAAGGCAAAGAACTTGATGAAATCCTAGCTGCCTCTACATTCTATTTCTTAATTTTCTAGTTAAGATTCATCTCAAATTGTATAAAAGTGTTATGTGATTTTACATCTTGTTACCTAAAGTAAATCCACGTGATATTTAAACAAGATCTTGTGTTTCCGGCCTTTGTATCTCTTCCCATAAGACTAAGACATTTGAATATTCCTTTATTGCCCAATCCACTGCCTTCTGGAATTTCCGCGATAAAGTGTGACTGTACCCATGCAAGAATCCCAGAAGAATCGCCGAAGATCTTTATTACAGAGGCCTACCCCAGGGATGATCCGTTTCTATATAATGAAGAGGAGGAGTTCCTAAGACGCACTATGGTACACCCTCCCGGCACGGACCTGTGCCCACCATGAGACATATGGGATCTTCGCACTGCCGTCTACAAGCTAAAGACTGATCGTGCCCCTGGTTTAGACGAAATTGACGCGGCAGTTTTCAAGAACAGTATTTCCTATATAGAAGAAAGATTGCTGGCTTTTTATAATGATTCTCTAGAAAGGGAATATTTTCCAAGAAGCTGGAAAATTGCTATCGTCAAACTCATTTACGAAGGAGGATACAAAGATAAGCAATCAGCCAACTCTTATAGACTTGTATGTCTCCTCCTCGTCATGAGCAAGGAGTTAGTAGTAAATCTGATACTCACTAAACTACGGCCAGTCTTCTCATGAGCGAGCAATCCACGGCAGTACGGATCCTCTAAAGGCAGGAGAACCGCAGATACCCTGCTGAGAGTGCGCCGTGATGTCGAAGATAAGGCGAAGAAGTATGTTATGCTCCTCCTGTTTGAAATATTATCCGGCTTCGATAGTGTCTGGTGGCCGAGCCTACTCCAGCAGTTGCAAAGGCATGAAGCTCCCAGCAACTTGTATGGCTTGATCAGTAGTTATCTGCACGATAGGACATTGAAGATTAAAGGTAGCTACTATGAAGTAGAAGATACAGTGGAAAGGGGTTGTCCACAGGGCTCTTTCCTTGGGCCTGCGCTTTGGAAACTGAGACGAGTTGCTGGGAGTTCTAGCACAGGAGTGGTTCCCCGCCACTGCATACGTAGATGACCTAGCTGTTGTAGTGGCCAGCTTAGTAGGGCCAGATTAAAATATGAAGCTGAACGTTGTGTCAACCTTGTAGAAGAATGTTACGAGAGAATGAAGTAAAGGATGGCGGATTCCAAGACTCAGGTACGATCGATAGGGCACACCACCATAACCTTGGTGATACACTGTTCAAGAATACGTTCTAGTGAGGTAGTCATCTATCTTGGAATTAGGATTGGAAAAAAAATCAACTTGACACCTGACTTAGATTATTTAAGAAATAGGATATCCTTAATATAGTCTCAGTCGCAAAGGGTAAGCCTTTCGGGACCTTAGATATCCAGCAACTACTTCCATTTATAAAGGAGTAGTTGTTGGTATCCTGAGATACGCGTACTCTGCATGTAACCGGAATCTCTCGTAAAGAAGCGCAAGTTGATGGCCCCGCTTAGAATAACTAGGTATTCCTCTCGACCTCCTCCTGCGGGAAGATCTTTTTCGGCACAAAATTAAGAGGGATGGCTTAGCGGATTTACCAGCGAACATTCGGGAGAGGATTTGTGAAGACACTAGAACATGGAAGATGATACTCCGTCAGAATGGAATCGGCGATGTTTGAAAACCCCAAACGGGTCCACACTGAGAAATATCTTTTCCACCGTTGAATCTTGCCTAGAAAAGAAATGGATCCTCCCGGACTACTGGGTTTCACAGATCCTCACGAGGCCTGGGGACTTTTTAAACATGGTCGATCGATCCCTTATGCCCCACTTTTGGAGTACCTGAAACCGCTTAGCACATCCTTGTAGCCTACACCAGCTATCAGACAATGAGGGCCAAATTGATACAGGGCTTTACGTTCGAACAGAAAGAAGCTTACCCCAACTGATGTATCAACAAAACTACCCGCACTTTAAAATCTTTGTATGCTGATGGAAAACAGCTTTGGGCCCAACCCACTTCTCCGTTGGTAGGCGTGAAGAAGCAGTATCTGGAAGGCCGCTGATTAAGACAGAGAGCATATATGAAGATGAAATTAGAAAAAAAATTATCAAGCAGGCTTTGTCCACAGTGATTTGTTATGCAGGAATGTATATCAAGTCACTGCTGCAAACTTCCGTATTGTCTTAAAGGCAGGATAGGGGAGGAAAATAAAATAAAATAATAATAATTTTTTCAATAAATTTTATACATGACTAGTGTTGCCCAAGAAGAGTCTTGGTCTTGCGCAAGATTCTGGTAGCAGTCACCTATTAGATGGTTAATATAGATACATTACTGTAATTTTTTTGATAGGAGAAACCTAACTGAGTCCGAATGAATAATTAGAAGAGATAGATGCAAACTTATATTGGTTATACCACTGCTTTATATATAATAACGAACATTGTCAAGTATTGAAGCGGTAAGGTGTATAATTGTGAAAAGATTAATAATAGTGTCGAAAACCAAATAATAACGAGTTTTATGGAAGATATGGATTAAAATATCTCAGAAACTAAAAATCTGAACTGCATATTGCAAGCGAAGGAAATGTTTAGCATTTCATCCTCTTTATAATTAGCAATTATTTATAATTTATATTTCATATTATTAATTTTGCCTTGTCTTCACGTCTATCGTGCTTTAGAGCACATCTCTTTTTTTTTTTTGTTTTAATTATGATATAGTACTTGATTGAAAATATTAGCAAGTAACCTTAAGGAACAAAGAATTGTCTTGAATTATTCTTTATTTCGTCTTTCGTTTTCTTAAAATCAATTGACTCTGACATTCGGAAAATGTGTACTATTTTTTCTTATCCATTGAATACTATTATTAAAATCAACACAATTTATATAATTTATATATGTCAATCACAATAATATTATAATCGTGTAATATTCTTAGTTTATGAATGAGGGTACTTGTAAGTATATAGGAAGGGTATTATGGTTAATAACGAAAATAAATCATATTAATTAGTTTATTTCGGAGAAAGTTACTTCAAGTAACTTCAAAGTTGAGATGGGAAAATTTCCCCAAACAGAACCTGATGGACAGCTGGCATGTGTTCAGAAATTTCCAGACCTCGTTTCTTACAAATAAATCTTTCCAAAGCTATTTCTACCGCACTTTTATCGATCTTGCTCTCCAAGAATGGGATGACCTTCTTCTCGAAGTATTCTTCGAGGTCCAGTCCGTCGAATTCAGGCCTGGAAGAATGGAAGTCTACCTTGGCCAACCTCTCGTAGGTCAGGTCGTGCAAGGTTACGGAGCAGCGGTTATCTGTTATCCTAACAGTGTAATGGACGCGGACGGAATTGTCCCCGATCCTGATGCTGGCTGACATGTCCTTGTCGTCGACCCTCAAGGATTGGAAGGTTTGTTGGAAGAATCCGAAGCCGTAGTGGAGGTCCACTGTCACATTCTTATCAACGTAATCAAGAGTGCAGTCGCCGGTCCTCTTCAAGGAGTCGAGGCCAAGGACATCGGAATCGGAAAAGGATACCTGAAATGTAAAATAAAGTTTTATTACGATTAGTCACTCTCACACTCTATTTACAATAAAAAAAAATAAAATAAAATAATACAAAACTTAATAATAATAAATACAATAAATAAAATAAAAATAAATACAATAAAATAAAATAAATGTATATAAACAAAAGAACTAACCTAATCATACACACTCGGGCTTGAGTGGAGGATCTGGCCATTGCCAAAACTCCAATAGATGCTTATTTACAAAAGGTCTCTGGGCCACTGCCGCTTCAACCTTCGAGGAGGATTGTAAGGATGGGTGGTGCTGGTTAGAGATTGTGCAAGGGGATTTGGATGATAGGTAAGGTTCTGGTGAAATTTGGAGAATTTTTCTGGAATAAGGTCTAGGACAAATGGGATATTAAGGTCATGGTGTAGGATTTTGTTATTTACATAGAACGGAGCATCAACTATTGTTCGAAGGACTTTAGATTGAAAGGATTGAATACGTTTGATGTTAGAAGCTTTTGCTGTACCCCACAGTTCAAGTCCGTATGTCCATATAGGTTTCAGTATTGTCTTGTAGATAAGTAATTTGTTTTCAATAGAAAGTTTGGATTTTCTGTTTAGTAGTCTGTATAGCTGGCCGTATCGTCGGTTGAGTTCTTGTCTTTTGAGTCTAGTATGTGGGTTCCACGTTAGTCTTCGGTCTAAATGAAAGCCAAGATACCGGACTGTGTCTGAGTAAGGAAGCTGGATGGAATTAAAGTGTACTGGTGGACAGGAACTGCGTCGGAGTGTAAAGGTAATGTGTTGGCATTTAGATTCATTAACTTTAATGCGCCAGTTATTACACCAGTGCTCAATCAACGCTACTGTTTAAGCGTAAGTTTCATGAAAACCAATTTTTTGAAGAAAAAAAAAAAAACTTTAGAAATAGATGACACCTAGCTGCACAATTAGTGTAGTGAACTAGAGTTCTCAGACTGCCGCAAGGTAGTAGGTACATGCCTGTACCTAGCAGGTTTTTGTTGACTGAACCTACACCTCAACTACATCACACAAGGCACTAGCGCATCCAGGATTTAATTTTGGAGGGGCACTTACACTTAAACACCATTTCTTATTGGTAGTTAGTTTCTTTCAAAGTAATTATCGTTACACACACACATATATATATATATATATATATATATATATATATATATATATATATATATATATATATATATAAATAAGGGGTGGTTAGGGGTGGGGTGGCCGAATAGGCTAAAGCGTGTGCACAACACCGCTAGTTGCCTGGCAACCGGATAACAGAGATTTGAGATGATATAAAAAGTATGAGTTCGCGTCCCGGTGCCGGAGGGGATTTTAAATTCCCCGCCCTCACCTCCCGGCCCGGGAAAATCCCGTATAGCCTAAAAGGCGAGGTAGGAAAGAACAAAAAAAAAAAAATATATATATATATAAATAAGTTTTCGGGCTGAAGCTTCCCTCCAAGATTAATTCCTGAATCCGCTAATGGTATAATACATTGTATAATAAATACAATAAGCAACAACAAAGATAATGTGTTTTCCCAAGATAAATGTTATCTGACAAATTCAATAGGAAACACTAGTGGCTCCAGGATTTAATTTCAGGGGAGGCTTCAGCCCGAAAGATTTTTTTTTTCATATACATATAACGATAATTAATTAGAAAAAAAAGAAAGAAATTAACTACTTGAATGAAATTGGTTTAAGTGGTTCTTGAAGTCCTATTAAATGCAATTACACTAACAAGAATACTTTAAGAGATAGTTTTTAATATTTTTATCTGTAAAACATGGTTATATTTTACCATTTTGGGGGGAGGGGACTTCAGCCCGAAAGTCCTCCCCCCCCTCCGTAGACCCGCCTGTGACACAAGGTATATCTACGATTAGCTGATATTCATAAAAAAAAATCCAAATATTCTTGTATTTTTCTGGTATAGATCATATGGAAGTACTTCTTATCTTACCCAGTCACATTTCGAATCCATAAATATTTTAATAAGTTATAAATTTAGAGAATCAGTTTGTTGCTTCAATGGCACTGTTTGATATGGAATGTTCCTATAGATGGCATGGAGATGTTCATTTAAAAATATATATTATCGTATATAAAGTAATTATATATTCATATATAAAATAAAAGTCATATATAGAGAAGAAAAAAGTTTTCGGGCTGAAGCCATCTCCGCTCCTAAATTTATTCCTGGATCCGCTAGAGGTTACAATCAAGAACCTATTTTGGCAACAGGAAAAAATTTTTGCTTTTTTTTAATTCGAACCACTAGAAGTTTTTATAACAATATAATCTCATTTTAAATACCCTTTATATTAAGTTTATCTCTTTGAATTTAAGCGAATACAGTCCTATCAGCTACTGGCGAAAAGCTTTATCATTATCGTCTAGTAGCTGACACCCTTTAAATTTTCAATTTCTTTAAGGTAAGTTAAAAAAAAAAGTTTAACTTTTTTTTTTCTTCAATTCAACATCCGCACCTGTCACAGTAGTGACAATTAGAAGATTTGTCGGTAGGTAGAAAACGGCATGATAGGCATGACGAAGAATGGAATCCAGCAGCACCTCTTCTCTGGTCCGTTTACATCCTAAAATCAGGAAAGGAGATCTCTTATCCAGCTCCTTTTCAGTCGCTTCCCGATGAACATTTCAGTCGTGACCATATCGTTTATAATTGACGTAGTATAACATAATCTTAAGAAACTAGTTGGTTTATCTGTAGTATACCTAAATAATGATAAAAAAAATTGTCAATAATTAATTTGTTTGTTTTTTCTAACCGAATTTAGCTTAGTTTAACCGATAAAAGATCCTTTTTAAATATTTTTAAAAATGTCAAGCAGTTCCTCAAGATAGTATCCTAGGTCCTATCCTTTACACAGTTTATACAGCTGACATCCCAACCCATTCCAACACTGTCATCACACCTATGCCGATGACACGTGTATCCTATCAGTTAATAACGATCCATCTATTGCATCCCAAACTCTTCAATCACACATCACAAGCCTTGAAAATCGGAATCAAAACTGGAGGATTAAAATAAATTCCAATAAATCCCATCAAATTATCTTCGCTCTTAAACCTATGACTTCCTGTCCTACAGTATACTTCAACAATAGCCCTATTATCCATTTCGAACAATTCCGATACTTAGGACTCCACCTCGACAAACGACTCACTTAGAACCCCCATACCAGATTGAAACGACTAGAAACCGCCCGACGTTTTCGACTACTGCAGCACTTACTAGACAAACGCTCTAAGCTTTCAATCAATTACAAACGCCTCGTATATAAGACAATAATAAGACCTATTTGGACTTAAGGAATTGAACTTTGGGACTCCACTAAACCATCGAATTCCTCTCGTATCCAATCCTTACATTCCAAAATCCTTCATAAAATCAACGCTTCTTACTTTATCAGAAACAAAATCATCCATAAAGATCTTAATGTTCCATATTTTTCCGATTTGGCCCAATTCAGACAAATATCCTTCCATAACAAACTGCAGAACCATCCGAATCCTCTCGTTTCAAACCTTGCTTCCTCCTCGATCCCTAATAATCCTCCGAGGCGTCTGAAAAGAAGATGGCCTCGGGACCTTCTAATATAGAAATATAATTGGAGTGCTACCAATGTGTAGTTTCTCTTAATTTTGTACATTTCATGTTACTTGTTTCATATTAACTTGTATTTATTATTTACTACAGTTGTAAATTTCAATAATAAAAAAATGATGATTTTTTATGTGAGAGAAACCAGGGTCTAAGAGTAATAAATATGTAGGCTAAATCTCGTAAGTTATAGCATTTTTAAAATTACTGACTTAACTTATTAGTTAATAGAACTTTAATTTGAGTTCTACCAACTGGTAGTATCTCTTCATGTTGAACATGTCATGTTACTAATGTCACATTTACTTGTTGCATTTTCCATGTAATACAGTTGTAAATTTCATTAAATTAAAAAAAATTTAAAACAATGTCAAGCACTTTTTCAAAATTTTATTTAGCTAATGGTGAAGCAATTATTATTTACTTAAATTATATATATTTTTTTATCGATTACTATTCAACAGAAAACATGACTTTTTTTTAAAACGATTTTTTTTAAAACAGAACTTGGATTTCCTGCTTTCCTGCTGACAATTGGATCGTTGTTTATAAAAACTTTTTTTTTTTAATTTTCCTAATTAAAGCAGAACTTATGGTTATTATAAATTAATAATAATCGAAATTGTTCAAATTCAAATTCTATAAATAAATACTTACATGAGAACCAAAAGCACCTTTTGGTACATGGACAGAGGTATATCTGTGCTGGCGGAGGTATTCGTTGGTCTTCTCTAAGCCTATATCAATTTGATCGTTGATGTTGATGACTTTGGAGTTGACGGCAGCCACGGCCAGGACCAAGAAAAGGCAAAAGAACTTCATGTTTGCTGCTGTTCTGAATGAAGCTCTACTCCCACGTCTGTATATTTATACCTCTCTCCTTATCTTTGAGAGGCCGGTTGAGATATGCAAATATTTCTCGATTCGTTTTTAATAATTAATTTTGAAGAACTCACTCAATTAATAATTAATTTTTTTTGAAAGCTGAAACGTCACGAGGTCAATTTTTGATAAACTGTTGTTAATTAGTAGAAGGTTTATGTGCCTTACATCAGATTTGTGGGAAAAAACAGGAATAAGAGTGCCAGCTCATGTAATAGAAAAACCAATAAAAATTGCTTACAGAAACTTTTTAGTCAATATTGCATGATATAAAGGCAAGGAGGTTAACATGCCCGGGACATACAAATTAGATCACCCAGTAAAAATTTAGTAAATTTTATTTTATTTACCATATTTTTATCATTCCTAGTTTTGTAACAATATTCTTTTTTTTTCTCCCCAAAGAAAATGGATTAGAAAAATAATATATAATTTATAATTACAGTTTTCAGATATATCTTAGAGATAAATAATAGGGTGATATGTTCATCAGAATCGAAAGATATTTTCGAAGCAAAAACATCGGGGCGGTCATAAATAGGCTAAATAGTGCCTAAACTATTTTATTAAAACCTAACGTTTCGACCCGACTTTTCAGGTCTTTTTCAGGGCTAAAACGGACAAGATACAAAAAATATAGAGAATTGTGGAAGTTACATAATATTAAGACAAAATATTATAAACAATGTGAATAAGCTTATTAAAATTATAAAGAGTAAGTATATTAAAATATGAACAGAGTAAGCTAAGTAACAAGATCCTAAAATGAAGTAAATAGATGATAATAATTGTTGTAGTGTAATATATAATATATGTAAATATGAATATACTACAGATATATAGGAGAGCTGAAAGAAAAGGAAAAAGGGTATAATATGAAATAATATACATAAAGGAATATGGAGAAAGAAAATAAAACCAAAACATAAATAAATAAGTATATAAAATTAGAAGAATAAAATTAGAGACTTACAGGTGTGTTCAGGTAGGAGTTTCCTTTAAAACTGGAAAATCAGTGTAAGGGTAGGTATTAGGGAATTCGCTGACCTGTTTGGGTCAATGGGAAAAAACCTAGAAAATTACAGTATCTAAAATTGCAAGATAGGGATGGATACAAGGGAAAAATACTACATCTATAATAAAGAAAATAGAATTAAGAGATTATATATGAGAGTACAATGTGAATATAAACTAAAATGGAAGAAGTAAAACGTACATAGAAGTAAAATATAAATATAGAAATAAGAGACCATACATTGCAGAACTAATTTAGAAGTGTATAGAGAGAAAAAACAATATATATAAAAAAATATGAATAATTGTAATTATACTTGGTTGTAGATATGTAAGAAAATTACATTTAAATATTTCATAATATTGAGACGGATGATCATACATTGATGTAGAATGTAAATATAAGATTAAAATAAAATAAAAGAGAGATCATACAAAGCGGAAATACCAATACCCTGATTTTCCAGTTCTAAGGGAAACTCCTAGCTAAACACATCTGCAAGTCTCTATTTTCATTCTTTTAATTTTATATACTTATCTATTTATTTTTTATTTTTATTTTTTCTTATCTTTCTCCACATTCCTTTATGTATATTATTTCACATTATATCCTCCTTTTTATTTTCTTTCAATCTCTCCTGTATATCTGTAGAAGTATATTCACATTTAAATATATTATATATTACTCTACAACAATTGTTACCGTCTATTTACTTCAGTTTAGGATCTTGTTACTTAGCTTACTCTGTTTATATTTCAATGTACTTACTTTTTATAATTTTAATAAGCTTATTCACATTGTTTATAATTTTTTGTCTTAATATTATGTAACTTCCACAATTCTCTATATCTTTTTGTATCTTGTCCGTTCTAGCCCTGAAGAAGACTTGCAAAGTCGAGTCGAAACGTTGGATTTTAATAAAATAGTTTTACCACTATTTAGCCTGTTTAAGACCGCCACCCCTGACCATCTCCTTCCTTTATAATGCAACGGTCAACTATTAAATATTCGTGATTATTTTATGAATATAGGGCAAAATATTTTATACACAACTATAATTATCATATATTATTGTGAATTATCATATATTATTGTGAATTATCATATATTATTGTGAATTATTATATATTATTGATACACTTGTAAATGCTTAATGTGCTCTCATGCTAAGCAGTTATCTCATGCTATGATGATACCGCTATTCTTTCAACCAACTCAGATCCTAAAACAGCGTCATTAAACCTACAAATGCACCTCTCCCTGATTGAACACTGGTGTAATAAATGGCGCATTAGGATAAACGAATCCAAATCTTAACAAATAACCTTCACCCTTTGTCGTAATTTCCTGTCCACCAGTTCATTTTAACACCATCCAGCTTCCCTTCTCAGATGCAGTCCGGTACCTTGGCTTTCTCTTAGATCGGCGACTGACCTAGAACCTCTATACTAGACTTAAAAGACAGGAACTAAACCGACGATACGGCCAACTATACCGACTACTAAACAGAAAATCTAAACTTTCCATTGAAAACAGTTTACTGATCTACAAGACAATACTGAAACCTGTTTGGACTTACGGACTAGAACTGTGGGGAACAGCAAAATTTTCTAACATCAAGCGCATACAATCCTTCCAGTCAAAAGTCCTTCGAACAATAGTCGATGCTCCTTTCTATGTAACCAACAAAACCCTACATCATGACATCAACATCCCATTTGTCCTAGACCTTATCCCAGAATTGTTTTCCAAATCTCACCAGAACTTTACGTATCATCCAAATCCTCTTGCACAATCCCTATCAAGCACCTCCCATCCCTATAGTCCTCCAGTAAAATTGAAACGGCAGTGGCCTCGCGAACTTTTGTAGATTGTATAAATTGGAGTTCTGGCAAGGACCAGATCTCCACTCAAGACATGTGTGTATGTGGCTAAAGTGCTCTCGATCAATCTCCGCTGGTACCAGTACCAGTGATGCGGTTGAGAGAGTAGCGCAGGGTTCTCCTAGAGTTCCCTTGCCTGATGGTATGTAGGTATGCATGTGTTTTTGCTTAGTTTTAATTATCTTTTTTTTTTAGTTTTTTTATTTTATTTATTGTATTTACATTTGATTATTATTTTGCTTCTATTTATTTTTTTTATATATAGTGTGAATGTTATCCTATCTCACTATAACTAATGTCCAAGTGATAGATAGTTGTAACACTCAATAAATAAATAGAAAATAAAAAAACTGACAGGAGATAGAAAACATAAAAAAATACCACCCCATAGTTTGTAAAATATCTGAAGGCACTTTAACATTTGTAAAGGCACTTTAACACTTTTGTAAGAATTGTTCAGATTTTGCAAGAAATTTAATTAGAATATGACTTGTTCTGATGTCACTAGAAATAAACCCACTAATTATATCACATGTTTACCTGGCACAGTCATCAATTAATTAATAATTCATGACTGGTGACACATTAATTGATTCTATCAGCTGTTGACATGGTGTAAGTTCCTTATTTCAGCTCTGATTCTGTCGAAGGAATCCTATCCAACAAGGATAGACAGCAATTCGTGCTGAGTTTAGAAACAAACTGCTGGATTCCAGCGGGAGGTTATCTCTCACAGGAAAAAATACGTATACGGTTTAAAGACCTTAAGAACACCCAAAATGTTCATACAAACAATGGTCCAATTATTCAAGAGGAAAGTAGGGAATTTTTTTTTTTTTTTTTTTAAGTTAGTCAAGTTTTTGTTGAATAAGAATCGATAACTACAAAAATACTAATTTAAATAACTAACAATTGCTTCACAGTAAACTATACAAAATATATTTTAAACTAAAGTAGAGTTTGTTATTGATAAAATTATTCAAATTCGAAGTTTGAGCAGCTAAATTCTATGCTATGTTCTATTTTTATAATAATAATAAAAGGCTTATGTTCTATTTTTATAAAAATAAAAAATTATTGAGGACGCAGTCTTTTTAATTTTTTTTTATTTTTGCCAACGTTTCAACCCAAACATGTGGGTCATCTTCAGGGCTGAAAATGTTTTTTTTTTTAAATTACAATCAGAGATATAATAGTATACGAATAATAACGAATAAATATTGTATAATATGTTTTCCTAAGTATCATCTGCATATATTAAAATTGTCTTTATTATAAAAATTATTCACCTAACCCTTGTATACTTGCTATCAAACTAAGCTATATTTATATTAATTGGCACCTTTTGCTTATGTTCATTTTAATACTAGTCAATAGTCACATTTCTGTAACCATATGAAATAACTCAAATATTGTACACGTCTGAAATATTTGTCAGCAAATTATGTATATTCTACAAACAGCATATGTTACCTCCCTTCCCCTCTAACCTTGTTTACTTACCTTTTGCTATCTGAAAAAGGACAACTGGGAAATCCTCCCCCCCTGACCTTTTTACTTACCTACCAAACATGTGTCAGTACTTGAACAACCTCAGTGCTCAAACCACGGTTAGTAAGAGAAAATATTACAAATTTATATAAATGGATTATATACATTATTTTTTATTTTTAGTTTGTATAACTATTTTAATATGTGTATTACAATATTAGTTAAGATTCATGTGCCACCAATCACTATAGTTTATTATTTATAATTAGCGGTCGTATACTATTATATCTCTGATTGTAATTTAAAAAAAAACATTTTCAGCCCTGAAGATGACCCACATGTTTGGGTTGAAACGTTGGCAAAAATAAAAAAAAAATTAATATGATTATGATGATGATGATATTAATACAGCGTCCTGAATATTTATCACCCACAATATTATTTAAGTGTAGGGTTTATTAAAAAATAAATTGAGATTGATCTCAAGTAGTGTAAAAGAGTTATGAGATTCAACATCGTGTAACCTAAAAGTAATCTTGTTTTTAAATTAAATTAAATTTTGTTTTTAAAATAAATTATTGATACCGTATTTTTTTAAAAATTATGATATAGTACCGAATAGAAAGCATTAGAAATTAACCGTAAGTAACAAATAATTATCTTGGAATTTTCTTTCATTTCGCATTTCGTTTCTGAAAATCAATCGCTCCTGACATTCCGAAAATATGTACTAATAAATCGTATCCATTGAATACAAATATTAAACTGAACACAATTTCAATTATTTATAATTAAATATAAATGTCAATCACAATAATATGTTTATTTTTATTGTTGCCTCTACCCTGCAGGGTCATGGCTACACTTCCTATTTATAATCTATTGTAGAACTTTATTATTTTTAAAAATTGTAAGGTTTTTTCCATGAGGTTTTCTTCTAGGCTCTGAGCCATATTGATATTTTTCCTTACATTCTTAAATACTGGGCAGTCTTGTATGATGTGTTGGACAGTTCTTTGCACCTTACAGCTCTCGCAAGTCGGTGGGTCCTTTCCTCTTAGTAAATAGCCATGTAAAAATTCACGATGCCCAATTCTTAAGCGGCAGAGGACTGTCTCTTCTTTTCTGGAGAGTTGGTTACTAGTTTTCCATTTGGAGCAGTGGCTTTATATTCCTTTTAATTTGGTTTCTTTTTTTGCGATATGTTCTGCCACATTACCCGCAATTTTTTTTTTATATGCTGTAAAACATCTTCTATCGGGATTTCTTTAATTATAGCTGTGGGATTTCTATGTGGCCTTCTCGCCAAATTTGCTACCTTTTTATTTCCGACAATTCCGCAGTGTGAAGGGACCCAGATGAATATTATTTCCTTTCCCTTTTCTGTTAGTTTCCACCAGATATTTTCAATAGATCTCGCCAGTGTGGTTGTCGGTGTTCTCTTTTCGATTGCCAGGATTGCACTCTTTGAGTCTGTTACCATGATCCATTTGTTTTTCTCCATTGAATCAATGTAAGTCAAAGCTTTTATAATAGCGATCATCTTATCACATATCACAATAATATAATAATAGTGTAATGTTCTTAGTTTATGAAAGATGATACATATAAGTATATAGGAAGGGTATTATGGTTAATAACGAAAATAAATCATATTAATTAGTTTATTTTTGAGATAGTTACTTCAAGTTACTTTAAAGTTGAGATGGGAAAATTTCCCCTAACAGAGCTTGATGGACTGCTGGCATGTGTTCAGAAATTTCCAGACCACGTTTCTTGCAAATAAATCTTTCCAAAGCTAATTCTACTGCACTTTTGTCGATCTTGCTCTCCAAGAATGGGATGACCTCCTTCTCGAAGTACTCTTCGAGGTCGATACCGTCGTACTCAGGCCTGGAAGAATGGAAGTCTACCTTGGCCAACCTCTCGTAGAGCAGGTCGTGCAAGGTGACGTAGCAGTTGTCATCTGTTAAACTAACAGTGTAATGGACGCGGACGGAATTGTCCCCGATCCTGATACTGGCAGACATATCCTGGTCGTTGATCCTCAAGGATTTGAAGGATTGTAAGAAGAATCCGAAACCGTAGTGGAGGTCCACTGTGAAATTCTTATTAACGATCTCAAGACTGCAGTCGTCGGTCCTCTTCAAGGAGTCGAGGCCAAGGACATCGGAATCGGAAAATGACACCTGGAAGATAACATAAAGTTTTATTACGAGTTGTCTTTTGTTATTAAATTAAATCATCATTAAATTAGTGCGATGACTTTGGGACTAGGTTGGTAACTTTTGGAACAGTGGGTAAAATTAGTTATTGGTGGATACAGTGTTGGTTCAGTCAGCATGGACAGCACATGTACTGTGCTAATACCTTGTGGTACACTATTCTTGATGCATGAAACAAGAATTTAGAAGAAAAAAAAAACTATAGAAATTAATAAAACCTAGCTGCACAACGAGTGTAGTGAACTAGAGTTCTCAGACTGCCGCAGTAAATGCCTACACAAAGCATGTTTTTGTTGACTGAACCACCTCTCACAAAGTAATTCCACGAGGAGCTGAACTACTTCTCTCATTACCCAGACAGACACATTTCAAATCCATGAATATTTTAAAAAGTTATAAATTCAGAGAATCATTTTGTTGCATTAGTTGCTGACACGTTTTGATTTGGAATGTTCCTATAGATGACTGGAATGTTCATATACTGATAGATATAAATAAAAATTACTTTCAACTTATTGTAAAACTTTTTTTTTACTGTGCCCACAGTAATAATAAAATCATTTGAAAACGCTTGTTGAGAAACTACCCATTGGTAGCACTCTAATAATATATTTACATAAGTAGATCACCAGGCCATCTTTTTTCAGACGCCTCGGAGGGTTATCAGGGATCGACGAGGAAGCAAAGTTTGAAATGAGAGGATTCGGATGGTTTTGGAGTTCGTTATGGAAGGTTAGGTATCTGGATTAGACCAAATCGGAAACATATGGAACATTAAGGTCTTTATGGATGATTTTATTTGGGACAAGGTAAGGAGCGTTTAGGATTTTACGAAGGATTTTGGATTGTAAGGGTTGGATACGAGAGGAATTCGATGGTTTTGTGGAGCCGCAAAGCTCAATTCCGTAAGTCCAAATAGGTCTTATTATTGTCATCTATATGAGTCGGTTGTAATTGATTGATAGCTTGGAGCAGTTTGTCTAGTAGGTGTTGGAGTAGTCGGAAACGTCGAGCGGTTTCTTGTCGTTTCAGTCTTGTATGAAGATTCCATGTGAGTCGTTTGTCGAGGTGGAGTCCTAGGTAACGGATTTGTTCAACTGGGATATGTGGGGAATTATTGAAGGATACTGGAGGTTATGGGTTTGCGGCGCAGGGTAAAGGTAATTTGATGGGATTTATTGGAGTGATCGGAGAGTTTGGGATGCCGTTTATTGTAAAACTAATTTTATTTTGTATCTCGTTATGAATGTATGGATAAATGTAGGGTCACTGTCAAGAATCTGTTTTGGTAACAAGAAAAACTATTTTTTCTCTATTTTTAATCTAAATCACTACCATTTTTTTAAAAATATGATCTCCTTTAAAAGACTCTTAATATTAAGTACATTTTTTTGAATTTATGAGAATAAATTTCTGTCAGCTACTGGCGAAAGGCTCTACCATTAGGCCCTAATAGCTGTCACCCTTTATATTTTCAATTCCTTCATCAAGGTAAGTTAAAAAAAAGTATAACATTATCTAACAATACTTGGTGTGTTACCTATAGTATAGTTTTATAATGAAAAAAAAAAGTTTTGTTTTTTTCTAACCGAATCGAGCTTAGTTTAGCTGGTAAAACAGATCCTGTTTAAATATTTCTAATAATGTCAAGCACTTTTTTTCATTTAAAAGTAAATTTTATTTAGATTACAGTGAATCAATTATTATTTACTTAAATTACATATATTTCTTTAGTTATCGCTTCCTATTCATAAAAAAAAATGAAACTGCTGTAGTATAGTTGAATAAGGATGAAAAGAACGAAAAATAATTTATGCTTTTTTAAAATTTAGTTTATGAGTCATAACTCCTCTGTAAATATTTTTAACAATGTCAAGCATTTTTTTTACATTTAAAAGTAAATTTTATTAGCTTACAGTGAAGCAATTATTATTTCCTTAAATTATATATATTGCTTTATTTATCCCTTCCTATTAAACAAAAAACATAAAACTGAGGTACCTGAAGTATTGTTAAATAAGAATTTAAAAAATCGAAAATAATTTATGATTTTTTTTTAAATATAAAACTTGGTTTAAGCCCTCATAATTCCTCTGTAAACATTTTTTACAATGTCAAGCACTTTTTTTCATTTAAAAATAAATAATCAAGAATACAAGAAGATACAATAAACTCCAACACATTTGCTTGATGCGTTACAACGCAGTGGCAAATTTAATTAAAAATAAATACAATTAATAAATATGAATTACTTAGAGTGAAGAAATTATTATTTAATTAAATTATATATACATGTCATTAATTATCGCTTCCTGTTCAACAAAAAACATAAAGCTGGGGTATCTGTAGTGTAGTTGAATAACGACAAAAAAAAAAAAATCGAATATAATTTATGATTTTTTTTTTAAACCAACAAAATATAAAACTTAGTTTAACCGCTCATAAAAACTTTAACTGTTATAAATGACAAACTCTATTTTCCCTTAAAGTAAATTTTGTTTAGTTGATAATGAAGCAATTGGATATTATTTAAGTTAATTAATTATTTATTTATCGCTTCCTATTCAATAGAAAACATTGCTTACTTTAAAAAACCCAAAACTTAAATAAAATTTTAGTTTTTAAAGTCTGTTTATAGGAGTGATATAAACATTTTTATATACTTACTAGACACCATGTATATAGGTATAGTTAAAAAAAAAAAGCATAGCTTGTGGTTGTTATAAATTTAAATTAATCAAAAATTGTTCAAATACAAATTATATAAATAAATACTTACATGAGAACCAAAAGAACCTTGAGGTACATGGACAGAGGTATATCTGTGCTGGCGGAGGTAGTCATTGGTCTTAGCTAAGCCTATATCGATATGCTTGTTGATATCGATAACTTTGGAGTTGACGGCAGCCACGGCCAGGACCAAGAAAAGGCAAAAGACCTTCATGATTGCTGATGTTCGGAATGTGAAGCTCTACTCCCACGTCTAGATATTTATACCTCTATCCTTATCTTTGAGAGGCCGGTCGAGATTTGCAAATATTTACTCGATTCGTTTTGAAGAACTCACTTACCTAGTAATTAATTTGTTTTGAACGATGAAACTTTTCGAGGTCAACTTTTAATAAACTGTTGTTTGAGGGGATTTGTGGAATGATCTGGAATCAGAGTGTCAAATTATGTAGGAGGAAAATCAATAAAAATCGCTTACAGAAACTTTTTAATCAATGTCCCATGATATAAAGACAAGGAGGTTAACATGTCCGGGACACAAAAATTACATCATCCAGTATAAACTTAGTAAACTTTATTTTATTAACTAGATTGTTATCATTGCCAGTTTTAAAACGATATTATATTTTTTTTTCTTCCCGAAGGGCCTGGATTAAAGAAATAATATGTAATTTATAATTACAGTTTTCGGATATATCTTAAAGATAAATGATAGGGTGATATGTCTATCAGAATTTGAGGATATTTTTGAGATAAAAACTTCGCACTTTCGCACTTTTTTTGTGTGGGGGGTTACATATGAGACAGACAGCTTTGTTTTTTCAATTTATATCCCTCCTGTAAACGGACTTTAAAAACTAAAATTTTATAAACTTAAGTTTTGGGCTTTTTAAAGTGTCATGTTTTCTATTGAATAGGAAGCGATAAATAAATAAGTATTTAACTTAAATAATTACCAATTGCATTATTATGAACTAAACAAAATTTATAGTGTTGCCCAAAATCGGTCTTTGTCTTGCACTTTGCAAGACCAAGACCGCCTAACTGTTGCAAGACCAAGACCAGGACTGGTAAAAAAAATCGATTTTTTAAATAAAATTAAGGCAAAATAGTTACTAATACTTGACAATCTTAGTTACTATATGTTAATAATTGGTATAACCAATATACTTTTGCATTTAACTCCTCTAATTTTTCATTCGGGCTTAGTTAGGTTTCTCCTATCTAAAAAATTACAGTAATATCTCTATAGTAATAAGCTAATAAGTAACTGCAAGACTGTTGCGAGACTCTTGCGCAAGACCAAGACCATGACCAGACTGAGTTTGCAAGACCAAGACTCGTCTCGGTCTCGCATTTGGGCAACACTAAAAATTTACTTTAAGCGAAAATAGGATTTGTCCTTATAAAAACTATTTACAGAGGACATATGAGCCCTTAAATTAAATTTTATATTTAAAAAAATCATTACATATTTCTATTTTTTTTATTCTTATTCAACTACACTACATTTTTCTTGAATAGGAATCGCTAAGTAATGAAATATATATAATTTAAGTAAATAATAATTGCTTCACTCTAAGCTAAATAAAATTTACTTTTAAATGAAAAAAAAGTGCTTGACATTATTAAAAATATTTAAATAGAATCTCTTTTACCGGCTAAACTAAGCTAAATTCGGTTAGAAAACAACAAAACTTAGTTACGTTTTTTTTTTGTCATTATATAACTACACTAGAGGTAACACACCAAGTATTTTTAGATTATGTTATACTTTTTTTTAACTTAACTTGATGAAGGAATTGAAAATATAAAGGGTGACAGCTACTAGCATCTAAACGAATGTACCGATTTCAATGAAACTTGGCTAAAGTCTTCTTCTCGACGCCCTTTAAATTTATCTATATAACATACTTCAACGAAGCTAGAAAAAAAGTTACGAGGGATGATAAAATTAGATTCCGAACAACTCAAAAAGTATACACTTTTTTTGTTAATATATTGATTTTTTTACAGTTCACGAAATTTTCTAAAAAAATCAAAAAAAAAATCATTGAATCAGACAATTCCGTTCAAAGATATGGTGTTCGAAATCTTTTTCTATAAGTTCTACGGCAAATCCGCTGTGTTGGATTTTCATTTTTGAATGTGTTACAGAAGTAATGCTATTTTTTTTTAGCATATTACTAATGGTAAAAAAAAAAAAAAGGTTTAGGCAAATAATTGGAATTCTTTTTTTTGTTTTCATAGCCCCATTTTATTTATTTTTGTCTTCAATCCTTGAATTTTCTTTTTCTTCATAATAGTCCTTTTACTGCTTAAAAGCATTGTAAGGTGTATTTTTATTTTTTTTTTGTCGTTTCTGAGTATTTTGTTCTTCATCTGTAATATAAAAGGTGATGGGGCTCACCTCAGGCTTGAGTTGACCTTATCTCTAGAGCTTACAACTAAATTAATAAAACATCTATCTTATGTGATTTGTTGCCAACGTTTTGGAATTTGGGCTGGTAATAAGTTGTTGAAAAGAGGGTTTGCAAATTGTTGGGATTTTTCGAAAAATTACTGTTTTCGTTTTGCGAGAAATTCTTTTATTGTTGATAAATTTAGTGTTGCTTGTATATCCAATGTCTTCTTTCTCTGCAGCGTGGTTCCTCTTACAATTTTTCTAATTATTCCATTTTGGAAATATTGTAATCTTTTCAGAGTTGTTTTGCTGATATGTTCGAACAGAGGTGCACCATACAACAGAGCCGGCCGTATTATACTTGTATAGACTAGAAGCTTTAGGCGTAAAGATAGGTTTGTTGTCCGAATTAAATTTTGGAGTCTGTACGTCTTAGATCTTACTGTTTTAATTTTTTTGTCAAAATGTCTAGTAAATTTTAAATGTCTGTCGAAGTGAATACCGAGATATGTTAAGTCAGTCGATAATTTAATACTGTTGTCAATTTTAAATTCATTTGGCATTTTCTTTTTTCCTTTTTGGTATGAAACTATAATTTCTTTCGTCTTTTTAGGATTAAACTCTATGAAAGCCTACGGGTTTCAAGGGGAAATAAGTGACGGAAGTAGCCTCAGTAGAGCCGTTTTAAGGTGGTAATGGTACGCGGCGGGAAATATTGGATATATGATTTTTCCACGAAAGCGTTTAATCGAAGGATATTCCAAGATTTTTGATGGTGGGGTGAAATTTGATGGGAATCTCATGTAGGAATAGAGTTGGAATATGTGGGTACAGCCAATAAATCAAATAATACTGTTTTTTGCATTTTGACTAAAATATCTCAAAATTTAAATACTATGGGGAATTCCGAAACCACTTTTCGGAAGCCTATTTAGATTTTTTTTTTTTTTAAATTTTCCATGACAATTAGAAATAATGTATTTCTATTTGATTTTCTGTTGCACTCTATACAATGTTGGCAATTACTGAATCCGATAACGATGTAATAAATATATTGAACATGTTATTACTTAGTGAATGAATATAGAACAAAAATAGTTTGAATCAATGTAATCTCTTTGTGAATATAGAACAAAAAGAAATTTCACATTATTAATCTCTCCTTGATGTTTTCACTTCTATCCATGTGGTCTGAAGCACATATTTTGTTTAGGATTTTTAGCTGTTCCGCAATTTTTTCACAAGTTATTTCCGCCTGCTGCATAGCTTTTTTGGCATTCATACTGCTAATTGAGACAGCTATTTCAGCAAATGCTGTCACAGAAGCATTTTGGTATTCTTTTAATTTGTCACTAAAAAGGTAATGTTACTTTAGATGTATAATTTTCGGGAAATAATAAATCATTGTGAAATAATTTGTAGCCTTTTTATCACATGTTACCTCCAGGAGATAGAAAACATTAAAAGATAGAAACAAAAAATATTACCATAGGAAAAACCATTTAAATATTTGTCTTTCCTATACTTTTTGAAATGTCTAACACTTTAAATTGTTGTTTTGTAAGAATGTTATAAATTTTTAAATACTATTAAGAAATTACATTAAAGTATTTAAATAAATTGATGTAATTTTAAATAAATCGACTGATTTTATCATATCTTTACCTGGAACATTGATCAACTAATTAATAATTCGTGAACGAATAATAATAATAATAATAATAATAAAAAGGCTTAGCGAACCTGAAGGTTCGATGCCGACACCACCAATCGCTTATTGCACACCTCCCTCCATCGTTCGCCGTCCAAACCCAGTTCCTTCAGATCGGCTTTAATGCAATCTTCCCACCTTCGCTTCGGTCTACCCCTCGGACGCTTACCATTCGGCACAGTAAATATTAATGTTTTATGAATTCTCTCATTACTAAGCCCAACAACTTTACAAGCCCATTTGATCCGCCGCGATGAAATTATCTCAATTATATTACTCGGATACAGTTCACGCAATTCGGCGTTGTGTAACCGTCTGAACTCTCCGGTTAACTCATCCTTCTTCGGTCCGAATATTCTACGCAATACTTTATTTTCAAAAACCTTAAGACGCTGCTCATCCCTTAATGTAAGCGGCCAAGTTTCGCACCCATAAATAACTGTAGGCAAGATAATTGTTTTATAGATTCTAATTTTTAAGTTTCGGGACAAGAGGAGCGAGCTAAGTAGTTTTGTCACAGAAAAATAACAAGCATTCCCCGCCTTCAGTCTAATCTTAATCTCTTCTTCAATTTCGTTTTTTCTAGTTATCGTAGAACCTAGATACCTAAATTTATCTACCTGTTCAAACATATTACCATCTATATCGATATTACCAGTAGTATTACCATTTTTGCAGCTAACCATATATTTTGTTTTATCCACGTTTATTTCGAGTCCTAGTTCTTTACCGGCTTTCATTAACGTTGTCGTATTTAGTTTTATAGTTTCAAGGTCTTCGCTTAATAGTACCAGATCATCAGCATAGCCCAGCACGGATGTTGTCCCACCCAGATCCAACCCTTTCTCGGTACGCATTACCTCCCTAATGGCATGTTCTAATGCCAAATTGAACAGGACAGGCGAAAGGGAATCCCCCTGTTTTAAACCCGACCGAACCTCAAATTTTTCTGACAGATTATTACCGATTCTAACTTTATTGAGTGTCTCCGTCAAGCACATCCTGACTAGATTTACTAATTTTTTAGGAATCCCCTGCTCGATTAGAACATTATATAGTTTCTGGCGGTCAATATAATCGTAAGCCTTTTTAAAATCTATATACAGC